TTATGCTACACTGATTATTTCCAGTGAGACAGATCTAACAGTCTCTTTGTGATGAAAATCAGTGATGTATAGATTCCTTCTTCTGTAGGATAGGAGAGATTTGAGGGGACCTCTGCTCTCCAGGTCAGTGTGGACATGGAATCTACTTGCTAAGGGAAGAAAGTCCAGCTTCTCCTGCTACTCAGTAACTCACTGACTCTGCATTTTTTCATTTAAACAGCAGCCCTGGTACTCGATGAAAAAAAGTGGCAGCTTGCTGTTTTGTATAGAAAATGGCTTTTCAAGTTGACAACTGAAAGTAATCCCAGCCTAGGCATACTTTTGTTTAGTAGACAAGAGCATCCATGAGAACTAGACTAAAGCTTTCCTATAAGCCTAAAGCTGTTGTGATAAAATGGCATATGGTGCCAGATTGCCTGAGGGCCAGGGCTGGAGAAACATCAAAATCAGTGCAGTTGTCCAACTATTGGAATTTCATTTTTTTTCTCCAAAAAGAATGGTACTACCATTTCTTAGTCTCTGTATGCCATAGACTTTTAAACATGGCTCAGGGAAGGAATTTTGGCAACACCACTGCTGATTATATAGCTGAGTAGCAACCATGACAAATAAATGCATATTAATTTGCCAAGACATAGCTTGGCACACAATTCTTTCCTTGTGACTAGCCTGGAATACAAGTATTTCAATAGAAGAGGCAAGACTTGTGTCCCTGTCAACAATTCCGATTTTCCCAAGAGCAGTTTGGTGTACAGACATCTTGAAGCCTAGAGAGGAGAGAGCTAAGGTGGCAGGGAGCCCTCACAGCTGTCTTCAACTAAGTGGTGGGGAGCTATGGGGAAGATGGAGCCAGACTATCTACAGAGGTGCACAGCAAAAGACCAGAGGCAATGATCACAATGAGCAGTAGGGAAAATTTTGACTAAAAAATTCTGACAAGGTAAAAAATTGTTCAGAGAGCGATTGAGCAGTGAAAGAAGTGCCCAGAGTCATGGTAGGCGCTCCATCCTTGGAGTCTGAAGCCTGACTGGGAACAGCTTTGAGCACCTTGGCCTGACTTTGAAACTGTTCTTGCACTGAGCATGAGGTTAAACCAGCTGGTTCTTTTCAGCCTCAACTGTGTATCCCATGGGAGGCTGAAAGCAAAGTGAAGCCACTGTGAGGTGAAACAGCTGATGTGGGGCATTTCCTGCCTCTGTGAGGTGCTGTTAGAGCTTACTTAGATTGTCTTAGCTGGCTACACCAACTTAACAAGCACTAAAGTGAGCCTGATGCATAAAACACTATCAACCAATGTCTCGTAGATAGAAAAGCTGCTTGGGGCCAGGAACGTGTTGTGTAACTGGTTTGGAAAGAACGCTATAAATTAAAATTTATGAGTAAGCTTGTCAGCTGAGAAAATCACAGAAATAAAAGGGGTTTGGGTACTTCCAGCTCCCTCAGTCTCAGCTGTGACTTTAAATCCATCTGAAAACGTAGAGGACTGCATTTTAAAGTTCTGTCAACAACAACAAAAAACCCCAAACAACTGCGCTTTAAAGCTTGCTGATCTGGGATGAAGCAGAATTGAATAGAAATGGTGATTACAGAGCTATTGACAACATTTCAAACAAACAAAAACAAAACCCCCCCAACACGCACAAAGACTGTTGGCCTTTGCCTTGCTGGATCCAGCCTAGCACAGTAAAAGCAAAGCAAACCATTTATTATTTTTTTCTAAGAGTTAAGGCTAGAGTGCTTAGAGAAATCATGGAGTAGCCTACCAAAAAATTTATATGTCAGTGCAGAAAGAATTTCTAGAGAAACATTAAACAGAAAAGTTGGCTCCTATTGAATTTCTCTGATGTTCAGTGAAGAGCTGGACGGAAAGATGACCAGAATAATGAAATACAGTTTCATTGGTTTCAACAATCAACAAATGAGCACAGAAAAAAATAATTCTGGCCTACAGGCAGCTGCTGAGTAGAGTTCCTGCAGGACAGCAGCTTGGTGCTCCAACTAAGGGGCAGCTGCAGACAAAGGCCAACACTGAGAAGCCTGTGAGCCTGTAATCTGGATGCCTCGTGGCAAGGGTAAGGCAAGCCAGTGTGACCAGCAAATTAAACCTCGCCTATTACCAAATCTGATATTGATGGATTTTTAAGAAGATCATCAATTTTAAAGTAATTTAGCTTTTATGCACTGGATTCTGGATTTATCTGACAGAACCAAAACCCAGAGATATTGTGTATTAGGTTTTTTTTTTTTTTTTTCATTTTCAAATTATTCAACCATGATGTATCAAAAACTACTGGGACAAAAATGCTCAGGCACATTTCTCAATACATACATGTTAGTCCAAAGACAAGCCGTAAGACAACCCTGCAAAAGAGTAAATTTCTGTCAGTGAGAATCGAGACCCAGAACTCACCACACATAAATTGAAAATAAATTCAGAAATCAGAATGATGTCAGATTGCTCCCAAGCTTCAGAGCTCCTGCTTATGAAAAACTCTGGAGAGAAAAGAAATGAAAATGGATGGCCAGCTACCAGCTAAGCCTATTATTCACAAATATGCCCTGTAGCACCTTTTGGAAGCCTATGCTATCTCTGTATATTCCACCACAACAAACTGCCTTAAATCAGTATGTTCCACCTTTCCACTTTACTTTAAAGGCTTTAATCTAGTTCTCACTATGAACTGAACATACAGTACCCACATTCACACTTTAAGATGTGCAAGAATAGAAGATGGAGCTAAACAGAAACCTGCAATGCACTGACCAGCCTCCTTTCCTCGTGTGCTGCCTCCCTGCTCCAGCCACTATCATCTACACTGTGTCTGGTGAAACCACCCACCTGTCACATCTGGGAAGCTGCCATGGGCCCTTCTCCTCAGACATGCTCACCAGTGTCTGCTTAAGGAGGAACTGTGTGGAATATTTTTCCATTTTATAATTACACTTTTTGTTTTCCCTGAATGAGAAGCCTGGTGGGGATGGAGGGGTAGATCTGAGGTTTTCTGACAGGAATCATCTCCTTCCCTTCTTACAAGAATCAGGGATCAATAATTTATAGCTTAGCACAGGCATGTTTCAAGTCTGTTTGTAAACACATGCAGTGAAGAAAGTTTAAAAAGCTATGACCAAACTCTGTCTAGTTGTTTTTCTTTTCCCCTTGTTTTTGAAATCAGCCAAGTTGTCAGGGTTAAACAAGACCAGAATTTGGCTTCGAACAATTCAATTGTGACAGGATTCCTATCTACTGTCTCTGAAAATTAACCAGTCAACCAACCTACCTTGCCCGAAGAGCTACTGCTGCAGAACAGAGCAACCACAGGTACCCCAAACTCAGCAGGCTCATCACTTTAGGAAAGATCAGTTTCCAGCAGTAGGCACAGAAAGAATGAGCAGGGAGGGAAGCTCTGATCTCAGCTCGATGTTAATTGGCAGCAATACCAGAAGCTGTAAAAGAGGGCCTCAGATCAGAAACTGTAAATTGCTCCCTCAGTTCATTTGCCCATGAAAATTGAATGTTTTTTTTGTCTTTGCAATGCTGTAGACAAGGAGACAGATTTCAAAACACGATGACTGACAGCAAGATAGAAAGCCAAACTATCAAAGAGACTGTGGGACTAATCCGATGACTCAATACAACCACACATGGAATCGTTTTTCTAGTGAAATGAGTTGTAATGAATAAAGGATACTGATTTTCACTCAGCAAGAGGTTTGTGCTTTGTTGAAGTCCTGCCTAGTTCCGCTTTATTCTCTCACTTCCCATGTGATTTATTATTCCAAATACAGTCAGTTTTCTGTGGCAAAGGTTAGGTGTATTTTTAATGGCGAAAAAAAGATACAGACACCACTAAGTTCAAATGAGGGCAGGGCTGCAACATGAAGAATTGAGTCTCATTCTGATAGCTATCAGGAAATTCCCCATTTGAACTTTCATTTCCCTTTTGGCCCCATTCCTTGATACATGGCAGTCGCAAGGCCTGAAAGCTGCCCCTGACTGGCTTTACAGAGGGCAGGAAGGGCCCAAGGTGCGAGATGGCGCCTGGCAGCCATGCTGGCCTTGCTTCCCTACACGGTGCTGGCACACATCCTGCTCTGCTCTTATAAAGTGGTCACGGCAGGTTAAGAACAGGCAAACACCACAGCTTCAGCCAGTCATCACACTGCCAGCAGGTCCCTGCTCCTTGGTTCCCCAGTTGCTTGAGCCTCCTCTAGGGCTGCCTCCAGCCTGGCCCTTTATCCACAGCCACTTCCCAAAAGCAGCCATTTTCACAGACTCATAGGAATCACAGAATGGCCTGGGTTGGAAGGGACCTCAAGGGTCACGAATCTCCAACCCCCTGCCTCAGGCAGGGCCCACCAACCTCCCTATTTAATGCTAGACCAGGCTGCCCAGGGCCCCATCCAATCTGGCCTTGAACACCTCCAGGGACGGGGCATCCACAGCCTCTGTGCGCAGCCTGTTCCAGCACCTCACCACTCTCAATAGTAAAGAACTTCCCTGACATCCAACCTAAATCTTCCCTCCCTCAACTTAAAACCGTTTCCCCTTGTCCTGCCGTTATCTACCCTTTCAAAGAGTTGATTCCCCTCCTGTAGGCTCCCTTTAGGTACTGAAAGGCTGCAACGAGGTCACCCCGCAGCCTTCTTTTCTCCAAACTGAACAAGCCCAGCTCCCTCAGCCTGTCTTCATAGGGGTGGTGCTCCAGCCCCCTGATCACCGTTGTGACCTTCCTCTGGACCCTCTCCAGCAGACATGTTCAAACAGAACATTTTCGTGGGACACTGACGAAAAGCGCGAGGAAAACCTGTTTGTTTTCATTATTTTTATTACCATTATTACAACCGCACTCAGCTTGTCGCCTTCCCAACGCAGCACACTGAAGTGACGTCGGCCAGGGGCGGGGAGCACCCGTCAGGAACCGCCCAGTGCACGGGAAGAGCGGCACTCCTCATCCCAGCCCCGCCACAGGGAGGGCGTTGCGCCGGGCCCTGCGCCTGCGCACTGCAACCAGCGGCGCTAACGCGGGCTGGCCGTTCGCTGCGGCACGGGGCCCACCATGAGCTTCCTCATCGATTCCAGCATCATGGTCACCTCCCAGGTAGCGCGTTGTTACGCGGCGAGAGCCCGGCCACGGAGGGAGTGAGGGAGAAGGAGGCGAGGTGGGACCGGCCGCTCGGGCCTGCTGGGCCACCCACTCACCGCGCTTCCGGAAGCGGCTGTTGAGGCTGAGGGGCGTGTGGGCGGGGTCTGAGGGCGCGCATGCGCTCCGCGAAGGCGCGATGTCTTTGCGTCGGTGCCTCTGCGTTTTGGCGGGATTGCCAGGTCCGAGGAGGGGAAATGGCTTTGTGTCTGGATAGCTTCGCCTACTGCTTTAGAAAGAAATAATAGAAGTCATACCAAGTAACCTGCAGTTCAGGAGTGTTAGGCAGCACGTTTTCTGTTGCTTAAGGCTGTGTCGCCTCTTTGGTCTGTTGTGTTGTGTGTCACTGTGACCCTTGGCCTTGCCTAGTTGTCGTATCAGAATATTATGCGCAGCAAAAAATCAATGAATAAGGCTGTAGGGAATGGAGTTTTCTAGTAACGCTGCCAAATTTCTATAAACTTAGGTCTTGTTGGAACCACCAGGAAGGCTCATTTCGTGGCTCTCTAGGTGTCACTGACTTGGTCTTTGTTGTTTCCTAAGTAGACTGATAATTTGTGGCCTCTGTGATGTTGTGCCATTGAGGTGCTTGCTTGCTTACAGCCCTGCAAAGTTTGTCGTGATTTGCTTTAAGGAATCTCAGAAAGGCACCACCATTTTATCTGAAATGCTTCTTTCTCTGCTGACACGTGTGATTTAGAACTTCCCTCAACTTTTCCTTCCTGCTGCCTTCGGGGTCATCTTTCAACCAGCCTGCTTTTTACTCCAGCTTAATTCATCTAGGAGCCTGTTAAACCCTGTTTCATATCATCCTGTCTTTACCGTTCCAAGCTGGGTGGTAATCTTAGCATATTTGAGATCGTCTTATTGTTTTGTGGGAGGAAACGCTCCATCTTTCTTTGTTAACTCCCAGTAATTTGTCTTGTCATTATGTTGTCTCTGACCTTCCTCTCCACCTTGCTGTCCCACTCCCTCCTCAGTAAGCATCCAAATTTCTTCCTCTCTGCTCCTCTGGTTGCAGAAGTGGTCCTATTGTTTGCTTCTGCCCCCTCTTCCCTTCCACTTGGCTGCACAGTCATATTTTCATTTGTGCTTTCTCCAATATTGGTTTTCTGTCATATAAATGAGTTTATCTGGGTCACAGAGGAATCTGATCAGCTTCAGAACTGATTTAAAATCTGTGCTCTGTAATGAGGAGGGATGAGTAGAGGAAATGGCACCTTTCCCCTCTCAACAGCAGCTGGTTATCTTATACAGTGTTTCATGTATGACTGCAGTTCCCCTGAGAATTTTCAGGATAGATGTCAGTGTTTCTTAAAGGTAAAATCTCCTCCTGCTTGGTATAGATTTAACTTTTGTTTCTGATATGCCTTTTAACTGTCATGGTTTGAGTGCAGCTTTGATACTGTTACTAGTTCCCTTAGAACAAAAGCTTTCCCATCATTTGCTTTGATTTTTAAGATCTAACTTCTCTAATCGCTTTTCTTTCATTTGTGATGGCAGCACTGCATCTTCCAGCCGTCTTCAGAAATATGAAGTTGGATGTTTAAATTGCTGCATGTAATTGTCAAATGCTCAAACTCATGCTCACCTGAGGCATCTTGGAGCGTGAACGTAAGATAGTGTATTTCTGTGCTTTTGTATAGTCCCTAATACAAAGGAAATCTAATCTTCATATATAATTTTCTCTGTTATTATGGTCCCTGAATATCTCCTCATCTTTTTCTTCTACTTCATTTATTTATTCCTCTTGAAAAGTCTGTCTGCCTTCTCCTTCTTCCCCACTGTTAATGGAATCATACTTTGACTTATAGCCTGGCCTGTAAATAGGAGGCTTATGGAAAATCTTACCTGTCTCTTATATTTTTGCTATCAACTACTTTGAAGTCCAAGGTTGTATGGGAACTGCTGTGTCGTGGCCTGAACCTCTGATTGATCTCCTGAGGCGAGCCATGAGTCAGCCACAGGAGCACAGGTGAAGGCAATTCTCCTGTGCTGCCGGAAGGGGTGGAGCCTGGCTGCACCCCTCCTAGACCTATTTAAGAGCTGGCTGCCAGTGGGGAAGGATCTCTTCTGGAGATCTGCTCTGCTGAAGTTTTGTAAGTGAGCCCAGGATGGGGTAAATTTTCTATGTATTCTCTTTTTGTTATCATTATCTGCTTTGCTAAACTCTCTTGTTTATTTTGTAGTTATAGCATCTTAATTTTCATTGATTATGCTGAGATCCTCCGCAAACCAATTTTGCCACCTGCTGTCAGTCACTAGACCTTATTCCTATGCCAGTTTTGCATTCAAGGCAATTGAATTTGACCTTTTTCACCCAGCTTTCTGGGTATTCCTTGTTTGTAAATAATGTTCTGTTACTTGTACTGCTGCTGGAATCCATTGACTTCTAATGCACGATGAAATCACCCACAGATGGCTTGTGTTGGAAGAGACTTTAACCCTAGGGTTAAGGATGAACCGCTGGGAGGCACCACTTGTGACTGGCCTCCATGTGGACAGAGTCTGTCATGGAGTTAGCTCTAGATCTGTTTGTGTCTGTGACAGGAGGAATCAGGCCCACCAGCTTGAAAAAGGTGCTGGTGGGGGAACCAAGAGGGAAAGGAATGAGGAAAAAGGAGGAAAGTTAGTTTACTAGTTCTAACAGTAGAAATACAAGTTAATTGGGATTGAAGCTAATAAACCAAATAAATGAGAGAGTGTTCAAAACTTAAGGCCTTACTCTAAAGCTGAAGGCGAGATGGCTAGGGAGCATGACTGCCGAGATGAGCAGTAAAAGAGAGGGCTGTCTTGTGACTTCTGAGCAGTTTTAATTTTCCTCTGAATGGAAGATGGAAATGAATGGTTCTCTGAAGTGTGTAGTTCTCTTCTGAAAACTAGGTACCTGGAAAATCGGCAGTCCATGGAACTGGAGCATTAACTCTTTAACTCCCAGTGCTCTATGTGATGTTATGATGTGGAATGCCGATAACAAAAACTATAAAAGCATGACAGAGGCGTTAACAACCACCTTCTGGCTGCAACTATCCAGCTAAGTCTTTATCCACTGAATAGTGCTGCCTTCAAATCTGTATCTCTCCAGTTTAAAGCTGTGGTACGGGACCATGTCAGAGGTCTCTTTGGACCTTGCACAAGTCCAAAGAGACAACATCAGTTGCTCTTCCTTTGTCCACTGTTGCTGTCACTCCATTATAAAAGGCCACCACATTGGTCAGTCATGATCTGCCCTTGGTGAAGTCGTGCTGGCTGTCTTGTATCACCTCCACAGCTCACATGTGCCTTAACATCTCTTCCAGGATGATCTGCTCCATGATCTTCCCAGACACAGATGTGATATTCAACAGCCTGTAGTTCCCTTGGTATTCCTTTCTTGAAAATGGGAGTGATGTTTTCCTTTCTGCAGTCGGTGGGAACTTTGCCTGGCAGCCATGACTTTTCAGATAAGATAGAGTGGCCTTACAACCACATCAGCCGCTTCCTTCAGAGCTCTGGGATGCATGGCGTCTGGCTCCATATTGTACCTTTTAGCTTCCTGAGGCATTCTCAGACTTGCTCTGCTCTAACCAGGGGGGCATTTTGCTCACTTGACCACTGCCTTGAGGTTGGGGTAAATAGTTGTTTGTGTAAGGGTAAGCTTTAATTTTGTATACTTGAAGAGTGAAAGAAGAAGCAACAGTGTAAAAGATTCTGGCAGGCCAGGAACTGAGGTATTCTGAGAAGCTGGGAATACAGGAAAAAGCCCTCTTTCCTCAATTGTCTGTGAGATTCTAGGCGGCTTTGTCTGTTACTCTTGAATATTTAAAATGTTATACTTTCCATGATGCCTTGACAAGTTTAATATCTTGGGTATGTTGGCCTTGTTCTGTTGCTTCCATTTCTTTCACCTACAGCCAATAGTGAAGCAGCTTCATATTGTGCAAATTGGTGGGCACAAATACTAGATACTTGATCTCTTTTGTAGGTGCTCTTCTTTGGATTTGGATGGCTGTTTTTCATGCGCAAGCTCTTCAAGGATTATGAGGTAAGAAGGGGATTTTCATCACAACTCTTTATCTTAAAATTACTCTCAGTTATTGCAGTGTTCTTAAAACTGTTTCTGACCTTTTTCTACTCTTTAAGCTCTTTTATCTTGTTTTTAGTTTTCGTACACGTACTTTCTTTTTCATTTCCTCTCTACTTTAAATAAAAGACTGGTAGATCTGGGGAAATGGATTCTTCTGGAACCACTAAGTTTCTGTACTGGCAACAACAACAAAAAAATAAGTTGGAGGAGAAGCAGGGGATAACAAAAGCCTTGTTCCTTAAGTAAGCTTGACTTATGTATTTGCAGAATTCTGGAGACAAAATCAAATTCATGTTTAAATTTGGTGAGGAGTAAATTGTTTGTTTGTGAGGATTGGTTGGGATAAAGGTTGGGACATGACATTCCCTTATCCCAAGAAGACTGTAAGGAAGTATAGTGTGGTAAGAGATGACTTAAGTGCAAGCCAACCTGAAAAGTTTATTCTTAAATTACACTTAAATCTAAGATTAAGAGCGTGGAACAGTTAGCAATTGCCTATCATTAGTCAAGTTGCCATCAGGTGTTACATGCCTTCTTTGTAGGGCTTCTCTCTCAAATAGGATTGATTCAGTCAGTATGATACAGGCTGTTTCTTCCCTTTGGGTTTAAATGCAGCGTACCTTGTAGCAAGAGCTGTGTGCAGTTGTACCGTGTGTTGTTCTTTTTTTTCCTTTCTTCACCTGAGGGGTATCAGGGTGCCATTCTACAAACAGAAATGCCTGCTAGCTCTGCCTTATTTTCTCCATTGCAGGTGCGACAGTATGTTGTCCAAGTCATCTTCTCTGTGACTTTTGCCTTCTCTTGTACTATGTTTGAACTCATCATCTTTGAGATTTTGGGAGTGCTGAACAGCAGGTGAGTTTGGGAGCTTTCTGAAGGGCTAGTGTGCAGAAGCTTAATGTGTAGATCAGACTTGTATTGGGGAATTATGTGAGGAAATGGTAAATAGCTTAACAGAGGTGTTTGAGCAGCAGGATTTATTTGAGAAAACATGAAACTAGAAGCCTTAATTTCCTGATTCTCCCACAGTTGCCATTATTGTGGCCTAAAAACAAAGCTTCAGTCTTAGAGTTTTTTCATTTGTGAAATAAAAGAGCAGTTTTATGGGTGAGCTGTGAAGCTTCAGATCATGCTGAAGAGCTCTTTTCAGGTGCTAAGAACTATAAAAACTATAAGCCCTTGTTTTCCTGTACTGGTCAAAACAGGGAATAAGATGTGAAGCTAATTGTGAAGTTAGAACTGTACTTTGTAGTAGAACAGTATTTGTGAATCAAAGGCACATCTTTCCTTGACATAGGTGAGGGTTTCTACGTAAAGAAGATGTAAAAAGGTGGTTACTTCAGAAAGCAGCAGGAAAGAGAAGATAGGGCAGTAACAGGGAAAGGTTATGGGTTTCCCATTTGTTGTCTTTCACCATATGAGTCTAAGAGTGCAATTAAAGGAATTGAAAGGCAAGAAGTTCAAAATGGATGTAAGATACTGGTAGTTTAGACTGTGTGATATTAATCTTATTATTGAACTTACAGTCAGAGAGATCATTGAGGAGGATGCATTTATAAGCTTTAATAAAGGGGCTGGAAATCATTATAGATGAAAATGTCTGCCTCTGAATTAGCTAGGAAAAAGTGACAAGGATCCTCAGGAGATCTCCTGCAAGACACAAATAGGACATGGGTCAGTCTTGGGAATAAGGCACTTTAGGAATAAGGTGTTTTTCTTGGAAAGCTGAATGGAAGGTCAGTTCAACCAAGATGAATCTCATCTGAATTTGGCTGATCTCTTCTGTCGGAGGAGTGTTGATTGCTTTGTAATATCTTGCATGTGAGAAAATCACTTTTAATTGAATTATGTTGAGTTATGAACATAAAATATTTTATCTTTTCAATTCGTGTTAACCCTTCCTTGACTCAGCCATTCATTACAAAAATAATTATTATCAAAACGTCATAGAATCACAGAATGGCTTAGGTTAGAAGGGACCTTAAAACCCACCCAGTTCCAACCCCTGCCATGGGCAGGGCTGCCAGTGTTATCCAGTGCTTGATGTAACTGAAAGGACTGTGTTGAGATGTGATTGTCTTCTTGAAATTTGTTGTGATGGAGCATGCTTACCTGTATTTTGGCTTTCTTTTAGCTCTCGATATTTTCACTGGAAGCTGAACCTGTGTGTCATTTTGCTCATCCTAGTCTTCATGGTCCCCTTTTACATCGGTTACTTTGTTGTGAGCAATATCAGATTATGTGAGTACTTGGCTTATGGCATTGGACCTACTAATTTGAGACTACACATACAAATGAGAACTCTTTTCTTGAGAGGGAGATGTCTTGGTCACTCTCCCTGCATCTTCTTCCTTCCTCTGGCTTTGTCTTGGCTAGATAAGTTCTGGGCTTAATGCTTGAGCAATAACTGTTTATTGGAAAGTTAGGATGTGTTTCACCTGGCTCCCCAAACGTAGCATTTCTCTCTGGGTTTCAACAAAGATGGGTGCTTTGGAATACTGTAACTGGAATTTGTTCCTTTAGAGTTTTAAGTTTCAGCCAAGCCCTCGGCCTACCTGTATCGTTCTACTAAGGGGTGAAAGAAACAAAGCAGAAAAATTCAATAAATTATCCTTGCTTTTTTTTGCTTACTACTATTTGGCGGGGGCCTCTTCCGTGTGCTAAGGCACATCTACCCTTGAGTTATCAATATTCATCACTCTTATGTGTTAAGCTGAGATATGTGGGCTGGCAGTATAGTGTAATGCCAAAATGTGTAGCTTTGGCATTAAGATGGATTTTCCAAGTGTCATTTTCAGGATCATATAAGAAAGATGTGACTAAGTACTTCCCTACTCACAGTGCTGCCCTTAGGGAAAAGCCAAAATGCTGTGTTGCTGGGGAAGCTCTTGCAAAAGGTGATGTCTCAAGCAGTGAGTTTGGTAGGAAGTGAAGGGGTGCATACTGCTAGCTCCAGCACTGTCAGAATACACCTGTTTTGGCCATCTATGCTTTAAGCAGCCTTTGGGCTATGGTAGTGGTTTTGTAAGACTGAAAATGCCTTAAAGGAAGAACTTCAATACTATTTTTTTTCTTTCCATCAGTGCACAGACAGAAACTGCTTTTTGCATGTGTTCTGTGGTTGACATTTATGTATTTCTTTTGGAAGCTGGGAGATCCATTTCCCATCCTCAGCCCAAAACATGGTGAGTTTCCTATTCTTGTTTATTTCTTCCCTCCTAGAAGAAGTCTTTGCTCTCTTACCTTTATCTTTTATTGTGTTATGTTTATTCCACATAAGGGACTACAGAAAGTATTTCTTGTAACTCAGTCTGCTTTGAAACATGGAATCTGGAGTTTGCCAGCCAGCCAGAAATGGTTAGCTTGGGTATCTCTGCTCTGCACTTAGAGAACCAAGAGCATTTATTCTGTGAAGTTGCTGTGAAGACTTAGTTGTTATGTGGCAGACACTGTCAGTGTGGGTGTAACTGTTCTGAATCCTTTAGGCACCTAGGTATGTCTTACAACACTTCAGGAAGGATTAGCTGTCACTTGGGTTTCCTATATAACTTATCCTGCCATTATCCCCTGCACTGGAGAATTGTTTGTGTTTTTCTCAACGGAAGAGATTGCAGTCAGTTTCCTTCCAATTGGTGAATGTGTCTGTCTGGATAGATAACCATCAACGTAATCTTTCTGTTCTCTGTGGGACTACTTTATTTTGGACTCAGAAGATAAAAATTGAAGGATACCAATTGCTGCAGGGTCTGCTCACCCTTCCAAAGGTGGTTCTAAAACTTTCCTAAGAGAAAGTGTGTGTCCTTGTTTTATAATTGTGTCATTTGCCCATGAAATACAGTAGCTTGTAAATTGCACAGATCACTACATAGTGTTTCATTGCCAAGAAAGAAGTGAATCCACTTACATCCACTTGAGTTGGCAGAATATATTAATCCAAAGGGAGTTTAGCCACAGGGTTCAGACGATCCTCTTCAGACTACTCTAAAAGTCTTGTGCAGCTGAGTAACAACTGCAGATATCCAGAATTGGTATTCTTGTTGTTTTTTTTTTCCTTTTTCCCTCCTGTTTTTGTCTTCTGCTTTGCAGAATGGTACCTTAACCTAACATTTGTACAATATCTTATCCTAGCAGATTCAGGCAAGAAGTTAGAGCCAAGGATTTGGCTGGGATGCTGCTGTCTTGCATGTACTAATAAGGCTATTGCTGGGCTTTGTTGTGGAGGTGGTGATGTAATTCGTATGTATAGGATCTTGTGGAAAGAGGTATGGCAGGAAGCCCTTTTAGGTACATGCACTGACATCCTGTGTTGGGATTGCCTTACCCTTGGGTGGTGCTGGCACTGTGCAGCAGCTGTGAAATGTACCACTGACCAGAACTTTTTGTCAGGAGTCCTGGATGATCTCCAATTTGTTAAGCATGACTCTGTGGACAGATTTATTCTGTACTGATTACCTAGTAGTATTCTATTAAGACTCTAATCTTCATCTGAATTCATAAAGCATGTGTTTTATGTGACCTGATCACAAGAGTAAAGATGCTGAGAGTGTTATGAGGGAATGTTATTTTAGACAGTGGAATGTCATGTCATTTTGAAGGCACCTCTGTTTTAACTGATAGTGTGTAGGGCAAAAGGCCAGGATATAGTAGCACATTCTGTAGCTGGTGTAAATCTCTATGCAGCTGCACATGACTGGGTTATCTCAGTTTCCCTTTGTGAAGTCCTTTTGCTGTGTTTTCATCATTTATTCTCCTTCTCTGAAGCATGAAATGTGGCTTGGCACTTGGCCATCTCAGCTTTGCAATCATGTAAGCTCCAAATGTGCTGTGTGTAGCAGCTATTCTGTAAGTATCTCCCTAAAAAGCAAGTTAATGTTTGATAGTACCTGGCACTGTATCCTGTGAAGATGGGTTGAGATCTGTTTTTCATGGCTGGGAAGAATAAATGCAGTCTCATTGCTCGATATTGGATACAGCACAGGCTTGATGTTCATGCTGTGTCATGTGAATGTATGTATGTCTTGGAGTTCACCTGGTGCTCAAAATGCTTGCTTGGAGGTCACCTCAACTGTGAGTGTGTATCCACAAAATGAATACTGAACAGCTAGCAGGAGCATGAACTTCCCATGCTGTCATAACTGCTATCTTAATGCACAAATTGCACCTGGTATGGAGGGGTTGCTTCTAATGATTGACAGGATAGGGCTTCCTCTCTATGATCCAGAGAGTTTTGGTCCAGATTGCTGGGAGTAACTGGTTTGGTGACTCTTGTCCTGGTTATTGCTGGAGTATCTTGCTGAATGTGTCTGTTTTATGGAGCCTGGTGGATGTATGTTCCCACCTCAGCGAAGTCCAGCCGCTAGTGTTTTATTAATGTAGAACCAAAGAGTTGTCTGTTAAGCCCCTTCAGATTTCTTAACGTTCTTCACAGTGTGAGTTATCCTACTCTTGTTTTTAAGCATGATAAGGTGCTTTCTGAGGGAGACTTTCTTCTCTCTGTTCGTAGTCCCTGTCCGTACTTCGTATTACCTCTGATCACTGCACTGTGAAGGTAGCTGGTTTCATTAGGCAGCTCTGTATGTGTACTGGTTTGCAAAGGCACCAGCTGTGGAAAGGATGAAGAGCGCAGCCCATTACTGATGCTGTGTTCTTTGTCTTACAGGAATCCTGTCTATAGAGCAGCTCATCAGTCGTGTGGGTGTGATTGGGGTGACACTCATGGCTTTGCTGTCAGGATTTGGTGCTGTCAACTGTCCGTATACTTACATGTCCTACTTTCTCAGGTAATTGCAGCCTTGTGAAATATTTTGTCTGCCTTTGAGGTTATTATTCTGCTTTTCTCATTGAATTGATAGAATTTTTTTCTTTAAAGTTACGTTTTTCTCATCCTGATGGCGTTAGTGATGGCTTTTGTTTTCCATGTTCTAAGTGTACTGTAGCTATTGCTGTTCTACACACCAGAATTATTTTCATCCCTGAAGGATCTCTTCGTACAAGCTTCTCTCTCTGTTTTATGAGCATGTGCATAATCCCTCTGAAATGGGTTAGCAGGCCTAATTGTTGGGAGTCTTTGTTCTGCAGGAATGTGACAGATGCAGATATTCTTGCTTTGGAGCGACGACTCCTCCAGACTATGGACATGATTATTAGCAAGAAAAAAAGGTGAGAAAGGAACAGTTGCATTAAATGAATTATGTCAAGGATTTGCAGTCAGTATGGTATAAGACGGTCGTGAAATTACCCAACTTTTCTTTCCAGGGCTACATGTTCCAGTGAAACAGATGGCTGAGTGGGGTTGTAGCTTTGTGGGGTTTCATTCTGGCCTGATATGCAACTTAGGCTTCTTCCCAGGCCTCTGCCTTGAATGGCATGTTTCTTCCTGCAGTAGTACAGATTAGGCTTCCAGGAGAAGTTCTAACTCTCTGATGGCAACTTGACTAATCTAAGATAAACATTTTTCTCTCTCAATGAATAAATGTCCCTTGAACCACCTCAGTTAACTCTCTTATTGGCAGTTTTGGTACAGCGGTTGAATTCATACATACTGAGGTCTTTCCTGCTCTGTGGATCTGGTGTTTCCTGGTCAAAACTGAAGTAAGCTAGTGAGCTGATGTGAATACAGCTGTGTAAACTTTGCCATTTGCAAGAATATTGATAAAGGTATAGTGGAGTTGTGGAACACTGCTAATATGGTGGTAGCGTAGTGTGACACCAGAGGGTAACATAAACATGACATCCGAATTCTGCCTTTGTTGATTTAGCTTATTTCATGTCCCCCAGGTGAAAAAGTGACTTTCAGGAAACGGTGTCATTGCATTTACACTGAAAGGATTTTTGTGTGCTCTTACAAATTGCATATTTCATGCCTTGCCAGTTATAAAGAGTAAATGCAATCACCCATGCCACTTCAGAGGTCTGTCTGGTGTAGAACCCTTGCAGAAACCCTCAAAACTTTACTTCAGGTGCACTAATGTTTTAATGGAACCTCTTCATGTATTACAATGTAGGATAGTCTTGCTGAATTAGGCACCAGCATGCATATCTGCTGATCAGTGAACTGATCTGCTGAGTGTGTGAAAGTGTGTGAAAGCCTGTCTTCTTTCTTCCCCTTTAAAAATGTTAAGTGGTGGACAAATGTTAACTCAGTATTTGTGATTTAGTGAGAAATGGTGTTTTTGTGGTAGTTTAGTGAGAAGGTGTATTTAATCAGAGAGGTTTAGTTGGCTGTATGATTGACAGAGAGGATATTAACATGCTGGCATTGAGTTGAAAGATTACTGTGGAGTACAGCTTTTCAGTCTGCCCTTTTGTTTAGTGCAGTGTGTTTGGAGCTCTCATCTCAGGGAAGGTAACGTTGGGTTAAAAGTATGGATGTCTGGGACTTGTAACTGACTAGCATTTCTTGGAGACAGCTGTTGGAAGTTGTTTTTGCTAATGCTTTTTGCACAGGAATTATTCTGTCCTTTCTGAGCGTGCTCAATGCGTTAAGGAAATTTGCCACTTAAGGTTGACAGGTTCTTCATAGTCATCCTTGCAGATATTTTGAGCCCCTCACAGTAAGAAGGACTTGGAAGCCTGGAGCATGCCCAGAGAAAGGCAACTAAGCTGGTGAGGGGTCTGGAGCACAGGCCTTATGAGGAGTGACTGAGGGAACTGGGGTTGCTCAGTCTGGAGAAGAGGAGGCTCAGGGGAGACCTGAGCCCCAAGGGTATTACTTCTATTGTGTGATTTATTATATTATTATGTTGTTATTGTTTTTTATTACACTGCTTATCAGCAACTTTGAAGAGGGCTCAGTGCCAAATGTAGCAGTGCTGGCTGCAGCTACAAAAAAGGACCTGAACTCTGTCAAATCATGGATTGCCTTGACGATACTATGAATAGTTTTCAGCTTAGAGTGGATAACTGGCTCACAAATTTCAATGGAGAGACATGTGAGGTAATGAGGCCAGAAGCCAGCAGTGCTTGCAGGGATTATGCTGCAGTGCACGTGGGGGTGTGAGGGACAGTATGCAGCTGCTGCTGTAGTATTGGGTGAGTTTTAGGAGTCATGTTTAGATTGCCGGATGTGTCCAGTGGTTCAGTCCAATAATGGATTTATGTGTTTCTGCTTCATAAGAGCTTGTCATGCAGCCTAGAAGTGAGTGACAGCGTGTGAGAGAGCTGCTGCATACCACACAGCGCTCACACTTCTGTGCAGGAAGCGGAATGTGCAGTGATAAAGAGGTGTCCAAGGAGAGAAAGGGGCATGAAAAGTTCTTCCAGTTCCTGAATCGGAGATAGCAAACAGTCTTGTGTGTGTGATGAAAGTAGCTAATCACGTGACTGAGAAAGCCATTTGAATATTTATTTTTAATAGGATTTAAATCCCTCTAAGGATTGAAGCAGAATTCCAAATAGAAGTCTTAGGAAGTGTCTCATTGAATCTTGCTTGATTAGATCTGGGCTCTATTCCAGAGCTAATCAAGATAATGTTATGAAGCAGGATTAGTGCTTAGGGAAATAAAAAGGGGGCATCTGTTGGCAGTGAATTTAGTTTAATCGTCTTTTCTGAGGAACTGTTTTTTGGTTATTGGGTTTGAGTTTGTTTTTGTTTTTTGTTTTGCTTTATTCTAAAAAGACTTTACTCCTGAAAACTTGTGTTTTCTGCTTTTTCAGAATAGCAGTGGCTCACAGGACAATGTTCCAGAGAGGGGAAGTGCACAACAAACCCACTGGCTTCTGGGGAATGATAAAAAGTGTTACGACGTCTGTTGCAGGCAGTGAAAGTATCCTTCATCTACATGCTGGCAGCTGGAGGTGACACCAGCTTTCTTTTGAAAGGAAGAGTGTTAGGTGTGCCAGTTGTGAAGCACCTGTGTTGTAATACATTCCAGAAGCCTGGGCAAAAGACTTCATGTCTTCTGGGAGGTTTGCTGTCTAGCGCTGTACTGTATTAACTTTTACCTAGGGATTGGACTCATGGTTTTATGTAGACACTCAGGAGTCATATGTTGCAGCCATGCTATGTACGTGTGCTGTTACATCATCACAGTTGAGGTGTACAGCAGGTTGCAGGACAGATGTATGCACTTTCTGTGTCACTTTGCAGATGTCTGCCCTGTCACAACACTGAAGCTGGAGGCAGCTTTCTATTCTGATGTATCCTTGGCTCACTGACTTACCTGCATACATGTTTTATTTCATTACTCGAAATACACTTTTCCAGAGTGGAGAAGTTGTGACATGCTTGAGCAAAACAACAGCTCTGTTTGAGGTGCTGGAACAGTTGTCTTCCCTTATAGCTGCCTTTTTGGCTGAGTTGGAAAGTGAGAAGAAAGGCAGGAATCACAGAGTCACAGAATTGTAGGGGCTGAAAGGGATCACTAGAGACTATCTTGTCCAACCCACTTACCAAAGAAGGCTCCCTACACCAGGTTGCACAGGTAGGTGTCCAGGTGGGTCTTGAACATCTCCAGAAAGGAGACTCCACAACATCTGGGCAACCTGTTCCACTGCTCTGTCACCCTTACTATGAAGAAGTTCTTGAGCACATTTGTGTTGAACTTCCTGTGCTTCAGTTTGTGGCCATTTCCCCTTGTCCTGTTGCCATTCACTGCTGAAAAGAGTCTGGCCTCATCCCTTTGCCTCCCACACCTTAGGTATTTATAGATATTGATCAGATCCCTTCTGAGTCTTCTTTTCTCAAGGCTGAACAGACCCAGGTCGCTCAGCCTTTCTTCATAAGAGAGATGCTCCAGGCTCTTTGTCATCTTCATGGCCCTCTGCTGGACTCTTTCCAGGAGATCCCTGCCTTTTTTTTGTATTGGGGAGCCCAGAACCGAACACAGTACTCTGGGGGAGAGTACTCCAGGGGAGGCCTCACCAGGACAGAGTAGATGGGGAGGACCTCCTCCCTTGACCTGCTGACCGTGCTTTTTTTTAATGCCTCTCAGGATGCCGTTTCTCTTTTTGCCCACCAGCGCACACTGCTAGCTCATGGCCAGCCTGTCGTCCACCAGGACCCCCAGGTCCCTCTCTGCAGAGGAAGAAGCAACCTGTGGAACAATTGAATTATTCTCATGGTGTAGGTTCACTGCTGTTGCTCTAGCAATGTGACAAAAAATGGATAGGAACATGTGAATAAATGTTATTGTGCATATGCAATAAGGATGGAAGGAATATGTGGACAGTTATAAGGGTCTGTATTTCCCTACCTTGCCATTGCCTTCCAAGAATTTGTCAGAGCACCTAAAATGTGCAGTTTGCTTAAGGCCAAGGAGTCTTCTTCCTGTCCTTTTCCAATGGCTGTTAAAATGAGAATTTGGCTATTTGATGAGACTCTTCACAATAATCACTAATCTCCTGGGGCGGTTACTCAGCGGTTTTGTTTGTGAAGGTGATGGGAGTGTGAAATGCTGTGCACTCTGATGATAGGGGATGCTTATTGAAGTGGAGAAGCAGTCTTTGAGAGCTCTGGTTCTGCAATGTGTTACCTAGGCAGAAGAGTACTACCTGCCTTCTTAAAATGGAGTACTGTGCAACACAGGTACCCTTGAGATGTCTTTGGGTGCATTATTTACAAGAGCACTACGACAGTATCAGTAAACTGATCTGGATTAAAAAAGTGGTCAAACAATTAGATGTGGCCCTTGAGGCGAAGGTGGGGAATATTTTCTTTTTAATTAAGAATTTGTGGTGTACTCTAGCCTTGACTATGCTGGTTTGCCAGATCTGTCTCTTATCCAGCAAGAAGTGGATGCTCTAGAAGAACTGAGCCGCCAACTTTTTCTTGAAACTGCTGACCTGCATGCGACAAAGGTATGAAACAAAATAACTGCCCAGGTATGTGTTGGGGGCTAAAGTAGATTGAATGAGAGCGTATGTTACCAGAAATTGAAAGCTGTTTAGCAGATAAATGTTGAAATGTGATGTGATGTGGTGGAGTGAGAATCTGTTGTGGCCTTCCAGAACTTAAGACTGCTTATAAACAGGAGGAAAATCAACTTTTTAGGTGGGTAGACAGTGACAGGACAAGGGCCTGGTCTTAAACTAAAAGAGGGAAGATTTAGATTAGATGTCAGGAGAAAATTTTTCAGAGAGAAGTGAGTTGCTGGAGCAAGTTGCTCAGAGATGCTGTGGATGCTTCATCCCTGGAGGCATTCAAGGCCAGATTTGTTGGGGCATTGGGCAGCCTCATCTAGTGCTTATGGTTGGCAACCTTGCCCATGGCAAGGAGGAACTAGATGGTCTTTGAGGTCTCTTCCAACCTGAGCCATTCTGAGGTTCTGTGATGATTCTATGATTCTTTAGTTTGGGGTCTACAGGGCGAGTTACTTCCTGTTTAGGTATGTGCTGGAACATACTACAGGTTCCTAGAGCTGTTCAGAAGCCTCTGAATTAGAAGAGTTGTAGGATAAAGCTGTGATTTCTGCTCTTGGTGCACCATTAAAATGTATGGCTTGTGTTGTTATCGTGGCAATGAATTTTTTGTATGTATTCTCCTCCCCCCTCTCGGATTTTTTTTTTTTTTTTTTTTTTTATCTCCAGGAAAGAATAGAGTACTCCAAAACTTTCCAGGGAAAATACTTCAATTTTTTGGGTTACTTTTTCTCCATCTATTGTGTCTGGAAAATCTTCATGGTATGTAAATATTTTGTTCTGTTTTATGTGCACATAAGCAAATGTCACTACCTGCACAGATTATGCTGTAGGTGCAGTGTATTAAGTAAGGCCCTAGTCTCTTTATAATCTTGCTTCTGGAAATTCTGAATGAAAATGGTATTTGTCTGGAATAAAGCTCTGCATCTCTCTTTTTACAAAAATTTAGGTAAGCATTTCTAATATATGTGTTTTTACACCTTCTTAGGCAATCCAGCTGCTCCCCCAACCTTGGATATGCAAACAAGAATCTCATGTGTAGCAGTGAGGTGTTCTTTTTATTCTCTTTGATTGTAAATCCATCTCTGCCTTGCAGGCGACCATCAATATTGTGTTTGACCGTGTGGGGAAGACGGATCCAGTCACAAGAGGAATTGAGATCACTGTGAATTATTTGGGAATCCAGTTTGATGTGAGATTTATTAATTCTTACAGCATTTTCAGTAATTCCTACCCCACAAAAGCAATCGCATAATACTCATAACGTGGAAGTGATAGAACCCTGGGAATGCATCTGTGACTTCTGACTTACTAAAGAGAAAAGGAAGTAGAGCTTTGAAACAAGTATTCTGTTATTTGCACTTTTATAATTTTTCATCTCCAGAGAGATGATTGATGTAAGTTGTATCTTTTTACTTGTGTATGTAATGAAATGAATTAACAGGTATTTTCACAATTATCTTTGTAATGTAAACCTGTTTACAGTGGATATTGTGCAGCTAGGAAGTACAAAGATCCTAAAGAATTAGCAGCTATACGATGTAGCAAAAATGGAGTTAGAGAATTAACTGTATTCCTCTTGTTGATACAGGTGAAATTCTGGTCTCAGCACATTTCCTTTATTCTTGTTGGAATAATTATTGTCACCTCTATCAGAGGCCTGTTAATTACACTTACAAAGGTATGTTTGGCTAGTAGTGTCTTACAGCTTTCCTCATAAAAAATCATGTTACTAGATCTTTAAATTCAAACAGAACATATACTGTATAAACTATCAGTACACATTTGTGTTTTTATTCTCTGAATTTAAATCCTTGTAGAGGAGGAAGAGAGGAAAAATATATTCTCCCCACTCAGTTTCTATTACTGTTATTCTCAGGAAGAGGTGTGGATGCTCAATGAGACGTTAAGTGTAAGCATGGCTTCAGAATGATGCTGTAGCCAGCATATTAGCAAGGGTTCATGAGATGATGATTAAAAGAATTTAGATTGCCTCATTTGAACTGCTAGTTCTTTTTGTAGAGCTGGAAAGGTATTAACTCAAGAGACATGTGACTCTTTGTGTTGACCTGGGTTTTAGTACCCACTCTTAAATATTAATACATGACTTTTACCAGTTGGTGCCTGCCACTGTCTTAAGAGATTCGTGTTTCTAAAAGTAGGGTACATGCGTCTCTCTGAAAAAAAACATGCTTTTCATGTGAAAGAGAATTGAATGGCATGTTCCTTTCATGATGTCCTAAGGCATCGTTGTTCCAGCTTATTTCCAGTGTGTTTTTTCTTTCTAGTTCTTCTATGCCATTTCCAGCAGCAAGTCCTCCAATGTCATTGTTCTGCTTCTAGCACAGATCATGGTGAGTATGCAGAACCATGGGCACACCTGTATGCATTTGTGCATACATACATATTTGTTTTTGCATACAAACGAAGATAACAAAGTCCTTGTGTGCTGGCCTATGATAGCCACAAAGCCAATTTTAAAACAACTGCTACTTTCTCTTTTTACAGGGTATGTACTTTGTGTCGTCGGTGCTCCTGATTCGAATGAGCATGCCTCTAGAGTACCGCACTATTATAACAGAAGTCCTGGGAGAGCTTCAGTTCAACTTCTATCATCGTTGGTTTGATGTGATATTTCTAGTTAGTGCACTATCCAGCATCCTCTTTCTGTACTTAGCACATAAGCAAGCTCCAGAAAAGCATATGACCCTCTAAATAAGGACTGCAGACACACACTGCTCCCATCTCCTTTCTGCTGGACTGTTGCAACTCCTGTGGACTGCAAAACTTGGAGAGCCAGGACAGTTCTGTGTGTTCAAGCAATGTCACTGGCTCTTTGAACTTCCATGTCTTCAGTCAAGCTCTGTGGCTCGTTTTAAGGTGCTACAGCTTGAGGGAAAGGGAATGCACACATTGCCAAGGAATAAAGGGAATTTATGGTACACCAGTATCTAAGGGGCTGTAGGCTGTCTGAGGTAAGGTATCTTGTGTTTGGAAGAATGTCTTCAGAGAAGGCATCAAGCAAATGTGATTTTTCTTTTAAAAAGCAACTCATAATTGAGATTCAGAGAATGGTAATTTTGGAGCTGAATATGGAAGTCTGTGGAATTAAATAAGCTTTTGTAATACCTCATGCAAGCATCACAGTTGTTTTTTTTGTCAGCTCAAAATATTTGTTTGCAAGTGAGCTGGAATTTACTACCTGGCAGAAGTGAAATAGAGTGAAGTTGAGAGGATATCACTAGTACGTGCTGTCCTTTTGAGCTGGAGCTTAGCTCTCTTGCTGAACCTCAACTTTGTTTCGTAAACAGAACTGAGGTTTTGGATTCCTGTTTGCCAGAGTTCAGCATGAAGTCAAAGATAACAGTTATGCCTTGTTTACCTTACGTGTTATAAATGTATTGACCTTATATGCTATAAATCTGGTGTTCCCCTCAACCTGTATATTCTTCTACAGTAGCCTGTTTCCCCTTTCTGATGTCATTCAAGGCATAAAAGTAAATTTTATTCATGTGACTTGAACTTGTAGCTTCCCATAGACACACTCCCAGGCTTTGTTTGTTACAAAATCGCTTTGGAACATAAATCATAGGTGGTAAGGCTAGGACCTGGGGAAAAAATAACCACTGAAAACAATTTCATTCTGTATTGTCTTTGGTGTACAGGAAGGAGACAAAAAGCATACAATAGCAATATTGCAGAGCCATTTATATAACATCCAAGACTGTGTGGTGTTGACTTGGAATTAGACAAACCGGCACGACTGAATTACACTTTTAACCACTATGATCTGCAAATTCAGGAGGAGAGGAGAGAGAACAGTGCTTAAAGGTTTTAGGTTTTGAGTTATGAATTATGAGGTTAACTTAATGTTTGAAAGAAATTTCTGCAGTGTTAGTGGAAGAAAGGAGTGTATTGCACAGAGTATATTAATTCATGACATACCATAGCGATTGCACTGCCATAAATACAGCACAGATCGTCACCTCCAGGATTGTGTTAATGGGATTGGATTAGGAGAACTGTCTCTCCTGGGAGATGGTGAGAAATCAGTTGGTCTTTATTAAACGCTCATTCTTAAAAGGCTCAGATACTTAGGAATTTATGAACTGTTTCCTCCCTGTGCTGCAGTATACTTAACTGTGTACTTCTAATTATTAAAGCCTTTACAGTAGTAAGTGGCTTACTCCCCATTTTACAAGACAGAAAGACTTGTGCAGTGAATGAAGTACAATTGCAGCGTGTTAAGGGACTGCAGGATACGCTAAAGTGCTTATTTCAGGCAGTGGCATTTTAGCAAGGCAGAACGGTCCCTTACAGGTCTGGTACTCGTATGGATAGTCAAACTCTGAAGTTGCAGTAGCAAAGTGTGATTGAAGAAAGAATTTGGAGGATTTCTTTTTTGTTCTCAGCATAGTCAGTCTCCTCAGAGCCTTGTGTCATCGCTGCTGTTGCTGTCTGCTCCTGCTGAGGCAGCTGATTGTGAAGAGGAAGATGAGCTTGCCTGTGGAGGAGTAACAAATACGTTCTGGTTATTTTTAGTTTGTAAACATGCTGGTTTGCAGTGTTATGAAGGACTCCTGTTTTAATCTGCACTAATGATATACTTGTTTGGATGGCATAATGAGCCAGTAAATGTGACTTTTGTCACTGAAGTGCTTTCTCGTTAGCTATGTTTTAGAGACAAATATGTTTAATAGAAGTTTCCTGTTGTTTAATTCCTGTATCTGGTGAACTTGCATACTGAAGTAATGCTAATCTTCTGACAGAATTTATGAAAAACCTGGCAGCTGGATATTTGCAGTCAAGGGTCATGGAAAAATAGGTAGGAAGATAGGAGGCGGTATTGGTCTTATCCTTGTCTGTCTCTCTTGCATGATCAAAAGGAAGCATTTCAGTACTTAAGGCTGACCACAAAGAAGGTTCAAAATTACTGTTTCAAGAAGAATTATTTTGTTGCTCTTCTGAGTTCTGTCATACTTCAGATTCTTTTTGCCAGTATAATGTGAGCAAAATTACTTAAATCTGTGCATTTCTTTCAAAATGTCATCATAATCTGTTGATTGCTCTTTCTTCTAAAAAAAAAAAAAAAATCTATTTTCAAATATTTCACCTAATTTCTCCAAAAGCAGGCTATGCTTTTTTGTGTATTTAAGGACTTTTTTTTTTGCACTTCAAGGACTGTATTGCCTCCTTGAGGGTTGCAGTGTGTAGATTGTCTTGTTCCATAAAGTCTCTTGTGTGTGCATTCTTTCTGTAATTTAATTGTGCATGAGAGATATTCACCTGCATTACGCCTGGGGAAGGAAAGAGTTGTTTACAGTAATCATATCACAGCTTCCCTCTTGATAACTTGGACTGACTTGTAAAAATTGAGGATCCTAGCTCAGTTATACACAGCAGTTATAGGAAGTTCTTTCAGCATCTCCTCCGTGATCCCTTGGCATTTGTTTAATACAGTAATACTTACCCTTTCTCTTGGTTCAGGCGAGGTTCTCTCTGACTCTGCTGCTGAGGTTTCTGTATAAGCAGGAGGTTCAGAAGTGTCTTGGGCTGGATCTGCCATAGCGACTGTGATGGGAATGTTCTGGTCCTGGAAGTATTTGTAAGCATCTTTACTGCACACCAGTAGTGTTACTTTATCACCACTCTCTTTGATTCTTGCCACAACGTTGTCATAAGGCTCATTCATCACATTCACCCCATTCACTTCCACCAAAACATCATTATTTTCTACGCCTGCTACATCAGCTGGTCCGTGTCTTTGTACCTGCAAAGGCAAGTTCAAAGGGTGACGTTAGCATAACGTTGAAAAGATGCATTAGCAACTGATGGTTCACTAAGCTGTCAAAATAAGTGTGGCAGGGAGATTTTGGGGGCAGAACTGAATTGAAAGAGACAATAGGCCTAGAATGGTGTAACTTAAACTTAACTTGACTACATTGACATATTCTTTAGTGATGTGTGAAACTCCTCCCTTCCAGAAAACAAAAGGCACAGATGTAATTTGTGATAACAGAAGATTCACTCTTGCCAGCTGCAGAAATTCTGAGAAGTGGAAGGGAAAGTTCTCTTACATTTCCAGGGTATTCTATAGTTCAAAAATCTGTATTTTAAATACAATTTTTTTGCATTCCAGCCTTGTAAATAAAAGCAAGAAATGAAACAAAACTTGGATTTCCTTTCCTTTTAGATATCTAGTGGAATAAAAGCAATGAGGTTTTCTGGTGTTTATTTTAATATTGGTCCTATAATATCAGTCTGACTTTTAACAATTATAACTTATCTAAGAGAGCTGGAGAAGAGTTTTGTCTTGTGCTTTTTCTTGAGTGCATTTACAGGGTGGAAGGGAGAGGGCTGCCCAACGTACTACGCAAGCTTTTCATTGTTGATTATCTTACATTAGTACCTCATTAATAAATAGTCCAGGTTTGTTCTTGACCATGTTTAAATTGAAGCCAAATCCACTTGGCCCTTTTACCATCTTGCAGATTCTTGGCTTGTGGTTCACTTTCTGTTCAGTGTGCAGCTCAACTCTTTCCTCTGCTTTTGCTGGAGCTGGGTTTTGTAGTTTGTAGTAATATGAATAGGGGGAAATTTGAGCCTGAAAAAACAGTGACAAAGAGAACTTTGATATGAAACCTGCTGTGAAATCTGTAGGTTTCTTGCTAAATATGTTTTGCTTGAAACCTAATGGTTCAGATACGAGTTGCAACAAGCTACTCTTTGCTGTTAATGTCTGGTTAAGTGGAAAGCTACAATGTTGATCCACGTGATAAGGTTTGTATTGCTCACAAGAGATTACACAATAATTTAATTCTGATTTTGTTGTCTTATTCCAGCCTTGGGGTGCTTTCAAACATGGGATGGTTCCAACAGTGCCTCTAAAAACATGGAAGAGGCCAAAAATGTAGATGTTTAGTGATTTGGTACTCAAGTACAAGGAGTGTTGCTGAAATCTGGACGCATCTTAGACCCTTGCTGTAAGATAAACTGCTCTGACAGACTGATTTGTTGCTGCTTCTGTGTCTTATTAATGATCTTTAGCTCTAGCTTGCATTTACTTACCAGTTTATACATGGCATCAGTCTCCTTATCCACTACCAACAATGTGGTTTTTTCTTCAGACTGCTTAATCTTTCCCACTACACTTTCATGATCCAGTGCATCCACTCGCTCGCCATTGACAGCTACCAGGATATCATCATCTTTGAGACCTGCCTTGGCTGCTGGGCTCTTGGGATCAACATCTCTGATTACATGATCTAAGATAAAAAGGGGAAAAGAAGATGGATGTGAAGGACTGTTTGGTAAGTGTAATCATGTTCTGCTGTAAAAGCTGTCTTTGAAATTGCACTTGAGGTTGAGGCAGTTTCCCTGATACAGACTTGTTAAGAAGCCAGATGAAGAGAATGAGTCTGCAGACTGTAGGAGTAGTGGAATAAACTATTGCAAATGTCATGTGTGTTGGCTTGGTTCTTACCACCAGTGTTTTGTTCCATCCGTAGATAAAAGCCATAACCATCTTTTCCTTTCTGAAGCTCGATAAGTTTTGGTTTAAGAGGAAGGAGTTTTAGGTTGGCATTCTCTTTGCTCAGCACCATCTTCTGGCTTGTATAATAGTGGTCCGTTTCTTCATTTGAAAGTAGAAGCATAATGTGATTTCCAGACTTCTTTACCTGCATTAGTACATGTACAGTCACAGATATGACCCCTTCAAAAACAATTGTAGTTACGTCAGTAACTGGCTTACTGATACACCAGTGGTGGGGAGTGCTGCTGCATCAGCTGGAAGATCTGGGTGACACTATTTTAGTTTTTTTCTTTTTTTTGTTAATAATTTGGACCATGTCAAGATTTCAGAGACACAAAATCTTGCATAAATATGAGGAAATGTTCTGTATTTCTTACTGTTTTCCTGGTCTCTGAATAACTAGCTGTAGAATTGAGCTACCTAACAGCTATAAGGGGTTGGCATGCAGTGGCAGTGAAATCCAGTAAGCTTCAGTAGATTGTGCCTGACTCTCATCTAAACCTGAAACTCTGTAAGGCAGACATATCGTGCCATCTCTATCACTATTTTGGATCATAGCAGCAACAAGCAGATAACTTATCTTTGCCCTAGTGTTAAATTTCTGTCACGCTCTTGGCCCGCTTCAATGTCCCTGCATGACTGACTGAAGATTTTTGGTCTGTTCAAACTTTCCATTTAATTCTGTCTTTCTCCAACTGCTTTCTAGTTCAATGGGTGCCCTTTTCACTCATAACGAACATCACTGCAGCTGATGGTTTGCAGCCCCAAAAAGCAAAGGTGTTGCATAGCTCTGCAGCTAGAAGCCTGCACTCAATGTGTTGCTGGAATGCCAGAGCATGACCAGCCCTCTGAAATCTCTTCAGCTCCGGCTGCGGTTTAGCAGTGCTGTTAGTGGAGAACTGGAAGTCTCATTAGCAATGTTCTTTGCAGCTGAGGCTAGGCAGCAAAATTACTTGCAGTTTAATTTTCATTAATCTTGGGCTTCTTAGCAGAAAAAAGGAACTGCTGTCTAAAATCATGAATTCACCCTGTTCCGTGCTGTCTACATCATCAGAGAGTTATTCCTCTTCCTTTCCTAAAACTTGTATTTAGTTGCTTGCCCTCTCTCTTACTATTAGGAGTATTTCCAGGATTTCTAGGAACAGAGCGTGTTTTATTTACTATGGTTTCTGGCACTCCTATAATTCTCATATTTAGAATTCTTTGGCCTGTTTTGATGGCAGTGTTCATTCAGAGTCAGGTCAAGAGAGCATATGACAACAAAGCCAAAGCAGAAGGGTACTCTACTGAGTTGGTAAAGTATAAACAGTAGCTTCCAAGATTTGCTGTGAAGCATTCAAACTAGCCAGACCTTCCTCTTCAGTAAGCCTGACAAGTTGCTGTGAAAATGGGCCAGAACAGAAGATTTATCAGTACACAAATACCTTTTCCACCACCTCCTCATGTGTGTCATTTTCCACATTTTTTCCATTGATTTCAATCAGGCGATCTTTATTTTGGACACCCGCCTTTGCAGCTGCTCCTTGTGGTGCCAGATCTACTATGAACAACCCCTTCTGACCTGAAATAGATGGTAACCCATTACACAGAGTAATTCACTGAAACATGCTTGCGTTTGATGGCTAAGAAGATTCAGCACCGATGTCCTTAGATGCTCTTAGTCTCTTCTTATGCGCATATTATAGTGGCACCACAAATCTTCAATGTAGACACGCCTCTGTCTCTTACTTCTCTTATTCTGCTCAGGAAATATCAGTACTGTGGGGAAGGGAGGTGGTTTGGTTTTTGTTTTTTTTTTCCACTACAACTAAAACTCTTATTTCTCTACCAAGAGTGACAAAAGAGCTGATGAAGATGGCTGAAAGGGACTTTTTTTCTTTTCTTTTTTTTTTTTTTTTTTTTTTTTTTTTTTTTTTACATTTTAAGAGATGAGCTGTTTTTAGTGCTGTTTTACACGCTTCAGAATTTCCTGTGTTTGAAAGATGCTTGATCTTTTGGTTATTCTGCATTCTGAAATATCCTGTTCGTGGTTGATGATTTCTGGAAGGTTTGCCTATTCTGTTGACTAGCCTTGTAAGAAAGACAGGTGTGAAAGAGACTGAAAATTACTTACTTTCTAAATGAAATGAATCAGGAGAAGCATTTGGTCGTCGTCTTTTTACTGACTAGCTGGCTAGAACTTTGTATTCTAGTTTTTAAGTGATTTGGAGGAATAAAATGGACTTCAAGCAGCAGTTGAGGATATATTTGGTATTCAAGCACCAGCTGTGGAAGTGGCTTTGGTAAATGAGAACCACTGCTATGGTGGCTGCTTCTTTTTTTTTTTTTTTTTTTTTTATGCTTTTATTTTTTCTGCCCCATTAGAAATATGGTCCTCAGGAAACCATATGTTGTACAGAAATTGACTGGAGATGTGTCTGAATCCATCTTGCTGCTTCTTACTTCCCCTCTGTTAGCAAGAGCACCCTTCCCCCCCACCCTCAAGCTGTGGCTGTCATATGTATACCATCTGTCCTCCTCAGGCTCTCACCTTCTGTGGTTTTCAGGGAGAAGCCATACCCTTTTTCCTCCTTCACTAAGTAGCAGAGCCGTGGTTGTGGAACTGCAGTGATTGCTCCATTGGCCATGGGCTGTGTGGACTGCTGCTTCTTCTTTCCTTTTGATACCTTTTGACCCAGCTCTTCCAGATTTGCTCCCTCCTTTTCTGCATTTTTATAAGATGCTTCATCCAGAACAAGAAATACAACAGAATTCCCACTGTTCTTTACAATCTCCACCACCTGTAATGGACAAGGTGAAAAGGCAAACAGAGTGATTGACCTAAAAGCTTTCCCCCGGAAGGGTTACACTCTTCACTGGTTTTGTTGTCACATCCCTCTGCTTATGGTGGATAATAAATGATGCAGAGAGATATGCAGAGCAGCTGATTCAGCTCTTGGAAGATGCCATAAAAATGGAACAGAAAGATTCCAATAGTGACAGTGGGTCTCAATCATGGGAGGGAGGTGATGTGGACCCCAGACTAAACAGGTTTGTACCTTTGTATGTTCCTCCTTGTCAACAAACACACCATTAACCCTGAGGACTCTGTCTCCATCCTTCAAGCCAGCCTTTTCAGCAGGGCTGTTCTTTTCCACGTTCCGGATGAGATGTCCTGCTGTGTCCTTCTCCACACGTAGGAAAAATCCATAGCTCTTCTTGGGTTTTTTGGTCACTTTGCATTCTCGGGGCTGGAGAGCAGAAGTCATCTCTACAAAACAGGATGGAAAAGGTAATTGTGAGTTCAAAAAAAAAAAAAAATACTGTAAAAATTGCTGTAAATACATACTGAGACAGTTTGCTTCAGAATCCTTAGGGTTTGGTTTCCTGGGAAATCCAGCTGTGCAAAGGAAGATGAAATGAATCCTTTTTACCTGCTAACTCCAAGATGAATGCCTGTGACAGGCATAGAACAATGAATGATGTTCTCCTTAAGTATTGCAATACCTCTGAGAGGGTCTCTTGTACAGTAAGTGTAGATGACTTGTTGACATAGGGACTGGATAAGCAGACTCTTTAGGTAGGCAGAAGAGTGGCTGAGCTGTTAGGTTCACAGGGTTTTTATCAGTGGTACTTAATCCAGCCGTTGGCTGCTTATTAGTGACAATGGTTAGGGTTGGTACTGACACTGATGTTCAAAGTCTTTATTTATGTCATGGACAGTGAGGCAGAATACATCCTCAACAAACTGATGGATAATACCAAACATAGGAGAGCAGTCAATAGGCTGGCAGATAGTGATACTATTTAAAGGGACATTGACAGGCTGGAGAAAGGAGCTGTCAGAAACATCAAAACATTTAACAGAGAAAAGTAGAAAAAATCTGTATCTAGGCCATGCATGACAGCACAGGCCAGCTGCTGCCTGGTCAACAGACAGTTTTGCAGGACAACACACAAGTGCACAAACTGAACATGAGTTGGTGTAGCTTTGCAATGAAAATCAACTGTATTGTGGGCAATATCAGAAGGTATCTAGCAAGTCAATGAAGGGATTGTTCCCTGCTGTTTGGCACTTGTAAGGTTATGTGTGAGTTCTGTTTTGAGCTTTCCATGTCACTGTCGTATTGAAGCTAGTCCACTGGGGTGAGATAGGTTTTTGGAGAGCAACATGTTCGAAGAGAGGCTGAGAGAGCTGGGTTTGTTCCATCTTGGGAAATGAAAGATCTTATTTGTGTTTTCAAGTGCTTAACTGGATGGTGTAGAAAACACAGGTCCGTATTATTCTTGGATGTTAATACTGATGAGAGGCAACAGATACAGGTTACAGCAAGGGGAATTCTAATTAGGGGGATGTAAGGACAGCTTTTTAATCTCTGGTGCTTTCAACAAGAGCCTAGAGTAGCTGCGGAATCTCCATCCTTGGAGGTGCTTACCTGGACGAAACCCTGAGAAACTTGATCTAAGCTGGCCTGGTTTAACATGAGCTGTTGGACCAGATGTTCTCCAGAAGTTCATTCCAACCTAAAATATTCTATATTTTTATGATACAATGGAATTGGGTGGCTCATTATCAGTAAGAGAGGCATTGTGTTCAGAAAGTAAGCAGTAGTTGTGATAAAGAAACAATTCCAAAGTTCACTATCTTGTTATCTTAGGGGCTCCTGCCCAAGATCCATGATGACATAAGAACAAGATTAACGAAGACAACTTTCTCCATCCAGCTAATTAGCACATCTGATGTGTTTCTTACTGGATAGATTTTTTTCCTCACTCCCAATAGAAGTTTGTGAAAAGACCAAATACCTGTTTCGGAGGTTAGCCATTAATCTCAGCCTAATAAATGCTAAGAAATTTCATCTGTCTGCGTGAACGCCTTACGGTTCTTCCTTTTTTCCATTTCTATGTATCACTCACATAACTAATGCATGTGAAAACTGGCCTTTTCATTTCTTTTGCTTGTTTTTAGAAGCAGCTAGCAGCGAAACCTCTCTGTGATCTTGATAGCAGCCTACTGCTGAAGTACATCTGGCTACCCATGCAAATATAGAGTATTTGTTATGGAAGCTGAAATTGTGTTGTTAGGGTTAGTTGGTCAGCATATAGAAAAGTATGGGTGAGGAGAGAGGAGCTTACAGGGATGCCGTTGAAGCTGGAGAATATGGAGCATTTCAGCATGCGTGGATAAGCAGGCTGTGGACTGTGATTTTCTTCCTCCCTTTGGTGAGGTACTTAGTAGTTTGTGGAGTCTGTGCATAGTGGCATGAAGAATAACTTCACGTAGGGATGTCCTGCACTACTGTTTGGACATTGTACTCATCTCAACCACAACTCAGAGTAGCTGTTCTTGACAAACACTGGAAAATCTGGTTAATTCCTGAAGTTTACACAAAGCTGAAGGAACAGTAAGCTTTTACAGAAGAGGTTACCTCTTCTTATGTAGAAGAGGAGGGAAGATTATATTGGGCTGCAAACAACTTTTCACTTCATGAAAGCTTTACATGCAAGATTATCAGGCTCATAAAACAGAGTTTTATATAGCAAAAGAAAATAAAGGAGCAACTTACCTGTATATCTTTGTGAAGCAGCCTTTGCAGGAATCCTCTCTTGCTGTCCCTCCTGTAGCAGTACCTATAGGTACGACTGGACTTTGATTGGGCAAAGGTTGATTTAAAAGATGATTTATTTAACCAAGTTTCACTTGAATATGCTCAATGCCTTGATAAGCTGCCTTGTCCTTGCCTGCAGAAGTGCAAATCACATGTATTTCTCAGCAGCTTTGAATTCTGTTCTGCTGATAATGATACTCAAAAGCTCAGTGAAGGAGGTGATCTAAGGCAAGCCTGATCTTTACTCTGTGCAAAAATCTTCTCCAGCTATAAGAAGTGTCATAAAGGAGCAAGTTAGGATTGTCATGTATTGACCATGGCTAGCTAGTGTTTAATTGCAGATTGAGAAGTTCCCAATTCAAAGTTGTGCTCTCCATGTAGTGTGCCAAACATAGGGGCTGTGATGGATTAATCTTGGCAAGCAGTCAAATGCCCACCTGTCTACTCTCTTGTTCCCTTCCTCAGCTGGACAAAGGAAGAAAACGGCATGTAAAAGTGTGAGGAATCTGAAATAATGACAGTAATTCTGAGAGATGCGATGTACAGAGTGGTTGTGATTGAGGAGTAGACCTGACTATTGAGAACATCCCACAGGCCACCTGTGGATGTGAAACATTCATTACAATCAGTGAGAACAAACAAAGTCCCTACAGCATATGTAGGAAAGTGGTTGGGAAAGACAGTTTGGATTACTCTCCTTTCGGAAAGGAACAACCCACTTGTGGAATTGTCTGTGCTCCAGGATCAAAGTATAATTGGTGGTCATTGTGGAAGGATGAGCGGATTTGTTGTGTACTTCTCTGAGGTTAGCACACCTGTGCACAATTTGACTTGTATTACTTACTGTATTATACAACAGAAACCACCTGAACTAAAAGGGAGTGAGTTTCATATGGAAGTGTGTGAATATAGCAATGACCCAGTCCAAGCTGGTGTTGGTGCCCAGCGATCTGACATTCTGCTTCTCCTGTCCTGAGTGATGGCCTTGATATCCTCTGGACTTTTGTCCCATTTATGTAGTTGCATTAGATAACGTGGAACCTAAGAATGGTGCAAATGACATGGAATAAGGAGATAAGGCTATACTAAGTCTGCCTGGGACAGAGCTAACTTTCTTCACGACAGCCTGTGCAGTGCTGTTCTTTGCATTAGTGTTTGAAACAAATCACACCAGTGATTTGGCTGTCACTGAGCAGTGTGCAAATTACCAGAACTTTCTCTCTCCATCCATCTTCCTCTGCACCCAGGTGAGTAAGCTGGATGTGAACAAGATGCTGGAGAGGAACAGAGCAGAGACAGCTGACCCAGGCTGACCAAAGGGATATTCTGTGTCTTTTGACGTCATGCTCAGCATTAAATCATGCAGAAAGGAGGAATGCAGGGACACTTGGTTATGGTATTTGTCTTCCCAAACCACTATTAAGCTTGTTGTTTCCCAGTAAGTAGCCTGCTGATGGGAGGTAGTGAATGAATTAATCCCTCTTTCTGTGTTGTATGCATGCATAACATTTTCTGTACATCAAACTCATTATCTCAGCCCCCAAGTCTTCCCTTCTGTTTTCTCCTAATCCCATGGGGAAGAGACAGGATGGCTGTTTGGCTGCTGAGTGAGGTCAACACACTGAACACTTCTTATGCAGCAGATATAAGCATCTGCAGAATGTACTGATGGCATTTCTGAAATGGGGGAAGCCTCCACATTGGAGATCTTGGTATGCCAAGATACTTAGTGAAATGAGAATATGAAGTTCTTGCTACAAAGTCTCATTCAGTTTTGGAAAGCTTTAAGGTGACTGATCTCCCTCATTAGCTTGCTGTGGAATTGGATTATTAGAAATAATACCTGCGTTTTTCATGGCTGTCTGCTCCAACTGTTTAATTCAAAGGAAAGGTAATAAAAATAAGCATAACCTATATGGGCTATAATGGAACAGGCATCAGTGTTATAAAAGCCTTAATGTAATCCACTTACTCTAAGTGGATTTGCAAGCCTGTTGTGACTATGAGATGTTTTTCTTTCTGTAACAATCTAGAAAGCTGTATAAGTGAGCCCCAATGTTGTAAGCACCAGACAAACGTAGTCAGGCCCTGCTTAGGGTCATGTGCAGTCTTTCAGATAAGTGAGACAAAGATTGGGTGAGGAGGGACACAGAGAAGGGGAATCCCAGCAACTCACAGTTTGCAGCTTGCAGCACAGGCAGCATGGGAACCCACACAAGGATTTTGGGTGAGCATACAAAGAAATAACACGGCATTTGAAACAAGATATTAGGTGGTATTTTTTGATGTCAGTGCCACTGCGATAACTTCCTCAGGTCATTTTGGATCCAGATGAGATTTTTTTTTTTTTCCCCTGTAGAATGAATGAGGTGCTGCACAAATCTAAAATGTTGGTGAAACAGAAATACTCAGGGATTCTGGAAGGGAAAATATGGTCATGTTCCAAGAAGAAGGAAGGTAGACGCTGTGTGCCTGTTTCAAAAGATTTGGAAGAGAGATTTGAGGAAAGAAGACCTAGCAATCAGCAGAATACTCGAGAGCTTCTGGCATGATGAAATACAAAGGCTGGTAAATGAGGTTGGAGAGGGGAAGATTCTTCACGTTGAGGCAGGTGGTTAGTGATAGACAGGAGGTTGGATGGGATTTTGATGGCAAGGTGTAAGGAGGGTGCGTCTCCACGTGTGCTAAGGACCATGCAGATATTAGAACATATCTTCACATCTGAGGTGTGAGTTGCCTGGAAGGTATGCTAGTGTGTCCAGTGCTAGCAAGCCCTTGTGGCCAAAAATTCAAAATCTCCTGTCTTTCCACCAGTAAAACGAAAGTTATTGAAAAGCGGAGCAAAAGAAAGATGGCTTACAATATACCCTCACCTTGAAGCCATCTTCTTGAGCATCTTCCTGAGGCTCTTCTTAAGCCTCTTGAGGCTTCTGGAAGTACATTCTCAAGCATATTCATACAGCTACAGAAATGAGGAATTTATCTTAATTTTTTTTTTTAATCTTATTTTTTAACATTTCAAAGCTTGTGGAACTCTGGGCAAAACTCTGAATTTTTCAGGACAGTTACCATTGCAGGAGTTGGCTGCAGTGACTTATGTGGTATGGCACTGTTAGCACGGGGATTGAACTTTAGGGGGTTGCTTTCTCTAAGGTTTGTTCTTTCTCATCTGTAGCCCTGCTGAGGTAATACAAGGACCTTATATAAGGACTTTCATTTCTATCCTCACTAGAGGTGGAATTTACAAAATACTTCCAACTGTTCTTTTTACAAGACATTTATGATATTCGATGAGAATCACAGAATCATAGGAGTTGGAAGGGACCTCTGGAGATCATCTAGTCCAAGCTCCTGATAAAACAGTTCCCTAGAAGTTCTGTTACCAAAGGACTCAAGTTGTGCCGGGGGAGGTTCAGGTTGATATATTAGGAGAAGTTTATTCTCTGAAAGAGTGGTGAGGCACTGGAACAGGCTGCCCAAGGAGATGGTGAAGTCACTGTCCCTGGAGGTGTTCAAGAAATGTTAGATGCTGTACTAAGGGACATGGTTTAGTATTAGGGAAATATTGGTGATAACTGGATGGTTGGACTTGGATGATCTTGCAGATCTTTTCCAACTTTGGTGATTCTATGACTGATCTATTTATCAGAAAAATTTTAGATTTATATCAGAAATAAGAACTTTGTAGTAATTTTTATTTTGTAATTGGTTTCCTTAGCCACTCGGTAAATGGAGAGAAGCACCTGTGTTTTTAATTTTGATGCTTGCTACAATTTCTGACTTCAAGTTCATAGGGTTTGAAGAGTCCTAGCCTCTTCCTCTCAAAGAAAACCCCCAAAGCAAAAACTTATGACTTTATAGAACTCCCAGCAGGCCAATTGGAATAAAGGCACTGTCCTATGGCTGTTTTGGTATCTTCTGTGTGAGGCGCCTTATTTTGATTCTGTGACGTCTTTCAGAGGATTTGATTTGAGCACACAGCAATTACAGAAGTTATCCTGTATCCTCAATATCCTTTTCCACTCATTCTTTGTAAGAGACAGAAGTGCTGCCTAATTTCAAAGAAGAGCAAATGTGTCCTCTGCTGGCAAATGGGCAATGGTGACAATAAAGGTTGTGGTAGTTTTCCTACTTAGCATCTGAAATAAGAAGAGAGCGGTGCTGCACATGTTCTACTAGCATGAAATAGGGGGCACATGTGGCATGTTCCAGGGTCTTTCAGTGAAGTCAGACTACGAAACAGGGAAAACCAACCCTTGTGGAGTGGTATTGTTCCAAAGCATGAGAGGGCTGCTCAGAAAGTATTGCCTCTCATGTTATTATGTTGGCCCACGAGGTCAGAGGAAGATGTTGATATAGAAGTAAAGACTGAACCTTCACACCAATATTCTGTCACTTTTTGTTCCTGTGTGATAGATGGCAGCAGAGGGGCAGTCCGACAGTCAAATAATTGGTGCAATGATCATGGCCTATATGTAATTGCTTTTAATGTGTCGTTTTCTGTAGATACATGTTTGAGTTGAAAAAAAAATTAAAATAATATTGTGGCTAGTCTCTGGACCACTTAAAATGTCTTGGTATGTCTTTTATTTTATTACTATTTTAGAATCATGGCTGACAGAAGCATTCTTTTAGGAGATGGGAGAGAAAGAGCATCCGTGACCATTTCATTGGATAAGAGGAGTAGAAAATGGAGCTAGTAATGAATGATAGCTTGGTGAAATACATCTTTGAAGTTTATAACACAAGCATAAAGTCGCAAAACTTTGGCTGAAAGGTAAAGTTTTTTACAGTATGGTTCATATGTTTTGTTCTGAAAATAAGATTGTTATCAAATAACTCACATCGCTGCCAGCACTGTTCTATTGACAAAATGTTTATGTGGATATTTTGCTGTGGAAATATTTCCTCTCTTATTCTGATGATGCTGATGATACCAATCAGAGCAGAACCCTCCTTCTGGGTGCATGTGCACCTCTTAAAAATCCATCTAGTGATGCAGTTCTGAATAATGGTTGCTTACTTATACTGCTTACTGTACACTTGCTAAACACAATCTCACTCATCTCTGTGC